GGGAGGATGAATGGAGAAGTACAATTTTTTCGGATAAGAAGGTATTTTCGACGGATGAATCTGGGCGTGTATCATTGTGGAGAACGAGAGGAACGAGGTACGCAGAAAATAATATTTGTTTCCGCCAACGATCTGGCCGCATTACATTGGCATTTTGGGGATGTATGTCCTCACGTGGTTCTGGATCATTAGTGCGTACTACACCGCACATGAACGGTAAGGAATACATCTACATTTTGTCCGATGTGATGATGCCATACGTTGCGGAGACATTTCCTGACGTACCGTACGTTTCTTTCGTTCAGGACAACCCAATCTTGAGACGTTGAAGTGGCCAGCTAAATCCCCAGATTTGAATGTAAATGAGAAAATCTTTGGGACACAATTATACAAGAATGGAATCCACCAATTCTGCGAACACATAAGGCACTCGAGGAACATGTTTTTAACGTATGGGAAGTTTTCCGTGTGAGGCCCGCGTTATTCCAGAATTTAGTTGCAACTATGCCCCAAAGATTGAATGTCGTAATAGAGAACCATGGAAGTGTCACACGGTATTAATACTATGTGACGTTCCATGGATATTGTATGTATGTATGTAATGGATAATGCTTATGAATGACTGTGAACAAATCTCTTATTATGAATGAAATGAATAAATAAAGGAATGAGTCTTGAATAAATGTGGTTGAACAAGGTAAAAGCCATCCGAAGTATCTTTGTGGGACTCTCCAAAATACTTTTACTGCTCGTCGCCATCACTACCGATTTCTTATAAGCCTGCTTCAACATTTATCATTGGTATATCTTATATCTCTTTAAATATTTGTCACTCCAATTCTTCCAAAAGATCTTTCAGAAACCCAAGTTCCTTGGTACGCATTTTAATCTTCTCCTCCAACAATTCGTTTTCTGTTTTCAGCTGATTTACTCGTTCCAATTTGTTGGTTGCGTGCGCAATTTACTCTTCACTCTGGATCGTTTCACAGCCTGTGGGAAACGTGAAAATAATAACGATGATAGTACGCATATGCAAATAACATGCACAATTTACATGCAAAACTGACAAATTACCTGCTTAATAAATTATTCTTATTTTATCTAATACATATTTTACTCATCACGCATTATTTCTAGAAAAGCATGTAAGGAGACTAACATTTAATATATTAAATGTAATATACTTTAAAATTTAATCACAATTCATTCAAAGCTACACGTAAGTGAGATTTCATCATAAGTTTATAAGAAGTAAAAATACTGCGTTTATATGCTTTTTAAACAATACAGCATTTGCAATATGCATAGTAAACAATTCGTGTTGTGCTAAAAGTGAATGATCTTACCGGTCTTCGACGTGGTCACACCATGTATGTTCGGATTCTGTATCACTTCTGACAGCTCATGACAGCTATCCTAACCACTCCCGAGACAGTGATTCGCATTCTGAAAATTTTTGCACATTCCGAAACTCATAAAAAAAAAGTGTTGCAACCTTTTAGCTGCTGACTGTACATTAATAATGAAAAAATAAGAAATTATTAGGAATACATAAAAATGGAAGTACATAAAAGTTATAAGAAAATGTAATTAATACTGTAATTGTTTATTTCTTAATTCATAGTTTCAATATATCAATTGTGGATAGCATTGCAGTATTCTATTTTAAACGTTATTAATGAGATATAAAATCTTATTATTCATAAAACTCTTATAAAATATGTACGAGGGTCATTTGAAAAGTTTCCGGCCTTATC